GTGTGTGGGGGGGGGTTGTATCAAGGATACTGTGCTCACTAGAATGCCTGGAGACCCTTGCTGGTCCGTACTCTCTGAGCGTCTTCTTGAATTGAGGAACACCCAGGAGAGGCCTCTAGGCAGGGTGGTCTACATCAGAGCCCAAGAAGAGGAGATGACGCTGAAGCCACCGGGGCCTTGCTCATTCTTCAGGACTCCCCACCTTGGGCCTTGAATTCTGTTTTTTCCCACATGCGTTCCTTTCCCCCATTTTCATTCCCTGTGTTTCTTTCCCTGTCTTCCTCATATCTTCATGCTCACCCTATCACCCCCTCCCTTATTCTTTCCCTCTTCCCCCCTGCTCCTCTTCTCCCACCCACGCCTAGCAAGGATGACAGATGGCTCTCAGCGCGAAGCCCAGGCTACACGCTGTCAGTCTCTCCTTATGCTGGGAGTCCACGCAGCCAGAGGACATAGGAAGGGTCCTTGAAAAGTTCATGGGAAATATGAAGACCTATGCATGAATTTCAAAAATATTTTGCATCAAAATAAACTTGTACTTTACATTTTCCCATGAACTCTCTGAAGTCCCCACTTCTAAGTACCTGTAAAGTGTGGCGGTGGCAGGGATTGTGGGAAAGACAAGGTTCCCACCTTCAGTGCACTTAGAATCTAGAAAGTTGGGGAGACGGGGCACACGAGAGGGTAACTACCACGTCAAAGCAGAGGGCAGTGCAGTGCTTCCGGACTCCGAATCCAAGGCATGTTGGGTGTGGCTGAGTGACATCACTCCAAGGGTAAAGGCTACCACACTGCCTTGGGGAGGGGGAAGAAGTGCTAGGTGCCCGGGGCTGGAAGGTGGCGTGGTGGTTAAGGACGCTGACCGTGGTTCAAGTCCTGGACTTGGCAGCTTGCTTTCTCACTTTCCCTCTCCCTCTCCCTCTGGTCTCTCTCTGGTCAAATTAAAATAAATAAGTAAACCTAAGTAAAATAATTTTTAAAAATAAGAAGGAAAAAGTGGTAGGTGCCCAAGGTCATGCTCAAGCTGAGGTCCCTCCTCCAACAGTAAGGGCACAGACCTATGTACTGTGGTGGTCTGGCCTAGCTGAGTCATGATGTTTCAAAGACCTGGAAGAATGTTCCAGCCATCCTTGTGTGTGAGTACCTCACTGAATAGTGCCTTGTACATCAAGGCTCCCCAGCCTCCAGGACACAGACTGGTACTGGTCATTGGCCTGTTAGGAACCGGCTGCAGAGTAGGTGAGTGGCGAACAAGTGAACTATCCTCAGTGTTTACGGCCAAGCCCCATCCCCTGCATTACTGCCTGAGCTCCGCCTCCTGTCAGATCAGAGTCCCAGAGCCCAAACCCCACTGTGAACTGTGCATGTGAGGGATCTACGTCACACACTCTCATAAACCATCCCCCCCATGGGGGGCCAGCGGGTAGCATGATAAACCATCCCCCCCAACCCCTGGTCTGTGGAAAAGTTATCTTCCATGAAACCAGTCCCTGGTGCCAAAAGGTCAGGGTCCAGGGTTGTACATAACCAAGATTTGGTGGCAAAACTGCCACTCTGGGAGCTGAATGTTTGATGGTGATTTGATATTCAGGTCCACAGATAAGCTCCAGTGAGCTGCTCTCATAGGCACCAGACAAAAACTCCCGGGTTGCCTTCAAGACCTTTTCAACTTCACTCCAACTACTGAGTTCTTGGAGGTAAGAGAAAAGCGTGAGCTTCTAGGGGATGAGTTTGTTTTTTGTTTTTTTTAGAGAGAGATTTTTGCTGTAAGGTACATGCACTCACTAGAGAGACAGAGACAGAAAGCGAGAAATCACCCCCCAGGGGGGATGGCCACGCCGCAATCCCTTCTCTTCCATTCTCCTCCTGGGATCTTGGGCACACACGCACACATGCCTGGCATGAGGTTTAAGCCACCGGGTCTGGGACTTGAACTGTAGTTGGCTATGTGGGAGTCGTGATGTAACCATTCCGCCATCTGCTGGTCCTGTGACTGGGCTATTTTCTGGCCTCCAGAAATGAAGTGTATTAGGCTAAGAAGATGTATGACTGTGTCTGACTAGCCCTATTTCTTTTCTTCATATATATATGAAATCTGCTGAATAAAGCAAACACTTCCCAGCCATGTGGCAGGTGGCCCACAGGGGACCCTAACCACCTGGCCCCTTATGTGTATGCTTTTACAAGCCTCAGCTGCCTTCAAGTTTTATTTTCCCCAGTGAAAAAGCTACAGGGAACCAGCAGTTAGCGTAATGGCTATGTCGCTGGACTCCCACGTAGTTGACTGCGGTTCGTGTCCCGGACCCAGTGGCTTAAAACTCACGCCGGGCGCATGTGCGTGCATGCCCAAGATCCCGAGAGGAGAATGGAGGAGCAGGGATTGCGGCGTGACCATCCTCCCTGGGGGGTGATTTCTCGCTTTCTGTCTCTCTGTCTCTGTCTGTCTGGTGAGCGCACGCGCCCTATGGCAAAAAAACCTCTCCAAAAAAAAAAAAAAAAGCTACATTGGGTTAGTTGTTTAATCTTGTGTAGTATATTAAAAAAAAAAAACCAGAAACGCCTGATTTTTCTTTTTCATTTTAGTTTTATTTAGTATGATTACAGAACATGCTACATGCTACATAACACAATATATAAACCTTCTAGCATGGGTAGATGACAACTGAGTTATTTTTCATCAATCAGGAAACTGCTTGTTTAATCAATGTTCTCCAAACCCTGAAAAACAGTTTAAAAAGGAAAATGTAAGAACTCTATTCCCATGAAAGACATACAATGTTCTTTTATTTCCAGCGTCCCTGAATGACATTTTCTATTAAAGTGCTTTAACATTCAACATTTCTCTAACTGCAACAATATATTGTATTGAATTTTATAATCACTAAGAACACGAACCTGTTTTGATTTCTACTTTTCACTTTCTGAAAACTAGAAAATGAACAAGACCCTTTTGCACTCCAATCAGAAAGAAAATCATGCAACTGTTTACCACCTAGATCCTTACACAGAACACCCTCAGTAAGTCATAAGGGGAAGGAAAAAAATCTGTTATAAAATGACAGTCAACACGTGGTAAATACTATTATCCTCATTCCACGGTTTTTCAGATGACGTGGAGGCTCAGGAGTTTAAAAGTCACTTGTGTAAGTTGGTAAGGGCAGTAACAGAGCCAGAAATCAAGTCCAGAGACCCCAACGATAGAACTTGTACCCTGCAAACACTATGCTGCTTATTCAAAAGACCTGCTGTACCTTAGCTCACGAGCAGATACTTAAGAAGCCATAAGTTACAACAGTCAATGATGCCATTTCTTCCAAGTATCAAAATAACACAATCCAGGTATCTGTGTATTATTGCAGGAACAATCACCTTGAGACAAGTTACAGTGGCAAATTCCTAGGAGCTACCGCGTAGGAACCCTAATTCTATCTCACGCGCCAAGTGATTCTGATGGCTACTCTTGGATCACACTTTGTGAAATACAGCTCTAGAAAAGTAGGTTATCTGTCATCATGTTCATTAGATTCTCAAATAGCGCTCTAGTAAGGCATAGATCTCCTAAGAGTGTCCTTCTATTATTACTTAGTCATCCTGACCCTCTGTTTTCACATCTGTAAAATGGAAATATTTACCTAGATTTGCTATGAAGAATAAATGAACAAAGAGAAAATATTAAAAAATAAAAAAAAATTAAGAAGGGAAGAGCTACAAGGTATGAAAACAAATGATTGAGTCATATAAAAATATACTACTTGGCCATTTTGACTTAAAAAACAGCAGCAATTTGGGACCAGCAGTTGGCATAATGGCTATGTCACTGGACTCCCATGTAGTCGACTGCGGTTCAAGTCCCGGACCCAGTGGCTTAAACTCATGCCAGGCACTTGTGCGTGCGTGCGCAAGATCCTGAGAAGAGAATGGAGGAGAAGGGATTGTGGCGTGGCCATCATTTCTCGCTTACTGTCTCTGTCTCTCTGTCTTTCTGGTGAGTGCATGTGTCCTACAGCAAAAACCCTCTCCAAGAAAAGAAAAAAAAAAAAAGAATTGGCAGGCCAGTGCAATGATGTACAGGGGAGTGCATCTGTAAAAGTGGCCCATGCATATATGAAGTTTAACTTACTAAGTGGTATTTCAAATAAAAATGGACTATTATGGATAAATGGATTATTATGGCAACCTCTTAGAAAAAAAGTAAAATCTCCAAAATGATCTGTAGATGGACCCAAGAACTAATGTAAAGAAAAAGAAAGAAACTGTTAACAGTATTTAGAGCTACTGTAAGAAAGTATTTTAATTATCTTGGATAGAAAAGGCCTTGGTGGGGCCAGCAGGGGGGCATGGTGGTTAAGGCACTGAGTGCATGTGCATGCATGCCCAAAATCCCAGGAAGAGAATGGTGAAGGGACTGTGGCATGGTCACTCTCCCACTAATCGGGAGTCTCTCACTTGCCCTTTCTCTCTGGGGAGCATCCCTACTCTGTAACAAAAACAAAGACGAGAAACAGAACAGTAATTGGTCTCTCCATGGTTTTTTGGAACAAAGAGGGCACCTTACCAAGAAGCAAAATAACTGTGTTCAAATTAATTACACAACAGTTACGTGAGTTAACGTAAGTAAGATCTGCGGGGCCGTTTTCTCAGTGATGCCCGTTTTCTCAGTGATGCTCTAATCCCAAGTCAATAATTGTGGAAATACCAGAAGTAATTACTCAGATCTTCATTGCAGGTGATCCTTTGGGGCAAACGATATAGGCAAATAATCCACAGAATAACAAATACAAAAGATTACTAAATAGGTAAAAGGCCGCTCAACTTCACTGTTAGACAAGAAAATGAAAATTAACACTGTAAGTCTTCTGGCAAGGCACTGCCAGGGCCCACATCACCCCTGGCAGGTGACTAGCCTCAGAGTCATCTTACCTTTGACACATAGTGACAATTGACTCCAGAGATGACCCGATCTCTTTCCATCAAACGCCACTGATATGTATAATGGGCAACCCTCTTTTCCTTTGAATAAAAGACAATTATTATAAGAGCTTATATAAATATTATCTCAAATGGTAGATATTAGAACTCATTTTTTTTGAGAGAGATGTTTGCTATAGGGCGTGTACGCTCACCAGAGAGAGACAAGACAGCAAGCAATCACGGGGGGGAGGGGTGTGGGGGGGAAGATGGCCATGCCACAATCCCTTCAGTCCTCCCTTCTCCTCTCAGGATCTTGGGCATTCAAACAAACTTGCCCAGCATGAGTTTTAAGCTGCCAGGTTCGGGACTCGAACCACGATGAACTATGTAGGAGTCCAGTGACATAACCATAACACCATCTACTGGTCCCTAGACATTAGAACTTTTAGAAAGCAACATCACGTCTATGAGGTACGATGTGATGTTTCACACTGCATACAGTGTACAGATGTATACGTGATGTAAATATATCAATATCAAATGTGACATTCTAGAAAAAGGAATGAGGATCAAAATAAAAGGCAATGAGGTCAGCAGGTGGCATGGTAGTTAAGATGCTGGACTTTGACAAAGTCGACTGTGGTTCGTCTCCTTGACCCGGCACCTTGAAATTCATGCCAAGTACATGTGCACGTGTGCCTGAAATCCCAAGAAGAGAATGGAGAAGTGACTGCAGCATGCCCATCCCCACTCGGGGGGCGATTTCTCACTTTCCCTGTCTCTCCCTGGCTAGTGCACAGGCCCTATGGCAAAAACCTTAAGAAAAAATAAAATAAAAGGCAAATTTAACACTCTGAGGCTGGACTCTCCTAAATAACATCAGGTCACTAAAGCTTAGGATTCAATTGGTAACCATGATTTATATCTTCTATTTAAGCGAACGCCCATTGTTTTCTTTTCCTCTTTCTTTTCTTAAAAATAGAAATGTCTAGTAGTAGCCTTTTGGGACCCTAAGAAACAACGGCAGATCACACGCAAACAAAAATCATAAAACCAAACAGCAAATACATTTATATTCTGTACTCTAGAGACGGTGGGGAGGGCTAGGGAGAAGGAAATGAAAACCTGGAGAAAAAAGGAGGATCTTGCAATATATTCTTAAACACTCCTAGTTAAATAAAGTGGGGAGGAGCCAGCAGGTGGTGTGGTAGTTACAACTCTGGACTCACACATGGCTGCCCATGGTACGAGTCCTGGACCTGGCAGCTTGCTTTCTCACTTTCCTTCTCTCTCTCTCTCTCTCTCTCTCTCTCTGGTAAGTGCC